TAGCTGATAATAGTACCTTAACCGTCAACCCACAACAGTAATGATCACCTAAGCTGCGTCTCAAGTATGCATCGTGATAGTTTCGCTCGCTGCATAGGCAATGCTGCACGTCTGCCAGCGCCTGAGCAACGCCCAGCACGCGTACCGACGTTGCTTCTCTTCGAGTTGAGGAACGATGTTGTCATCGATCTTGTGGAGACTGTGCGACAAGCAGATCACCCCTTTTTTGTCCTCTGTCTTCGCAACAATGCTTTTACTAAGAAATCTGTATATGGTAGAGAGCTGGGGCTATAATTCGAGCTTCAAGGTTTATTTTTTACGGTATTGTTTTTGTGACGGTAATTAACTCATGACTGATCAGACGAGTAGACCGATTGGAAGGCCCACATGATTTATTAGTGGACCACATATAAATCAGGACTTAAGCAGAGAGAGATCCGATAGACCAGTCACTTTCGAATCATCCTCCTTCCACACAAGTCGTCATCATTCGGTCCAGATTACAAGAGCAGAATTTCTTTGCAAAACCTTAGGCATCAGTTTCAGCATATCTACGTATCAGCAGAGTAGATGCGGCTAACTTCTTTGATCCACCTTATGGCGCCGCCAGGTGACTAGAAGATATAGGCCCCCTCGCCATTCTCAGCCACGTTTTGGTATGTGTTGCAGCGCAGTTGGAATACGATGTTGCTTGCCTATATATAGCATTCCACGGTACGACGGCTGAGATCGATTCTCGCGTGACACCACAAATGCCACACCGACTAAATAGAAAGTGTGCCGCGCGAATAGCAAGCCCACATCGCAAAGTAAAGTCTTTTATACTTGTCTATTGTATGTCAGTCGGAATTCGAAATCTGGTGGCGTCTGGCTTTGTACCTTACACCCTAGTGTATGGTGTGAGTATAGATATTCAAACAGGTTGCTTAAATGGAGTACGCAAAGTAAGACGCGCGAAAACAATTAATGAATAGGTACCTTTATTGTGCGTTGTAATGGCTTGTAGACACCCTGTTAAGATGTAACGAGCACTGGGCGAGAGAACGAAGCTTAAAGAACTTAAAAGAAGTCTACACTGCAAAGTGAAGACGACTTGTGTAGGAGAAGGAATATTTGGAAGTGAGTTTATTTGTGGGTTCAAAGCTACCTGAATTGTCTCTGCACTGATTTATATGTTGTCCACATATGAATCATGAATCATAAATCATGTAGGTCATCCAATCATCCTATGCGTCTAATTATTGGTAAAAACTCACCGTAATTACGCGGGATCAAATTTCACATCTGTATATGGTAGAGAGCTGGGGCTATTGATTCGAGCTTCAAGGTTTATTTCTTACGGTATTGTTTTTGTGACGGTAATTAACTCATGATTGATCAGACGAGTAGACCAATTGGAAGGCCCACATGATTTATTAGTGGACCACATATAAATCAGGACTTAAGCAGAGAGAGATCCGGTAGACCAGTCACTTTCGAATCATCCTCCTTCCACACAAGTCGTCATCATTCGGTCCAGATTACAAGAGCAGAATTTCTTTGCAAAACCTTAGGCATCAGTTTCAGCATATCTACGTATCAGCAGAGTAGATGCGGCTAACTTCTTTGATCCACCTTATGGCGCCGCCAGGTGACTAGAAGATATAGGCCCCCCTCGCCATTCTCAGCCACGTTTTGGTATGTGTTGCAGCGCAGTTGGAATACGATGTTGCTTGCCTATATATAGCATTCCACGGTACGACGGCTGAGATCGATTCTCGCGTGACACCACAAATGCCACACCGACTAAATAGAAAGTGTGCCGCGCGAATAGCAAGCCCACATCGCAAAGTAAAGTCTTTTATACTTGTCTATTGTATGTCAGTCGGAATTCGAAATCTGGTGGCGTCTGGCTTTGTACCTTACACCCTAGTGTATGGTGTGAGTATAGATATTCAAACAGGTTGCTTAAATGGAGTACGCAAAGTAAGACGCGCGAAAACAATTAATGAATAGGTATCTTTATTGTGCGTTGTAATGGCTTGTAGACACCCTGTTAAGATGTAACGAGCACTGGGCGAGAGAACGAAGCTTAAAGAACTTAAAAGAAGTCTACAGTGCAAAGTGAAGACGACTTGTGTAGGAGAAGGAATATTTGGAAGTGAGTTTATTTGTGGGTTCAAAGCTACCTGAATTGTCTCTGCACTGATTTATATGTTGTCCACATATGAATCATGATTACATAAATCATGAAATGCATGTCATGTAGGTCATCCGATCATCCTATGCGTCTAATCATTGGTAGAAACTCACCGTAATTACGCGGGATCGACTTGGACAGGTTTACGGTTTCCATGGTAGCTGATAACAGCACCTCAACCGTTAACCCACAATGCGCCCCTCAATGCAAACACGCGTGTATGCCCAGCGCTGCCGTCAAGTCCTTGTGACGCGGTCCTGGCAGTCCCTTGGTCATGATGTCCGCCAACATAATCGTAGTCTCACAGTAATTTAAAGTGACATCACCACGCTTGACTTCATCACGAATGTGATGGTACTTGATGTCGATGTGCTTGGCCCGACCATGGTTCACAGGATTGTTCGTCATCTTGATGCACGATTGGTTATCTTCCATGATCTTGAGCTCGGGTCCAGACTTGTACTCTGCGGCATCCAGAATCTCGCACAGCAATCGATGCACCCACTTGCCTTCTTGAATCGTCAGACTTAGTGCAATGTACTCAGCTTCATTTGTTGACAACGACACACTTGACTGCTTTATGCTTCCCCAGCTCACCGGAGCACCCATCAAGATAAACGCATATCCCGAAGTCGACTTGCGGTCTGCATGGTCGCCGGCCCATTCTGCATCCGAGTAGCCGCAGAAGTCTATCTTGTCATCAGACTTGAAACAGATGCCGTGCGGCTTATTCCCTTGAAAGTATCGCAAAATGCGCTTGACCGCCATCCGATGCTCGACTTGGGGGTTTTCCACGAAGCACGAAACGTAACTCACAGCAAAAGCAATGTCCGGTAGTGTCGCGGTCATCAAGTGCATTAAAGCGCCTACAGCTTCATGAAACGGGGCGTCGATTTTGGTTGTGTTGACGGTCATCGGTTTCCTACCAGTATTAGTAACCGTGACCGGTCCAATCCGAACCGCCTGTTTAGCTTCGTATTTACGACGTAGTTCTTACGGTAATTACCATAGTTGATTAGACGCGTAGGATGATGAGACGCTTCACATGATTTTTATGTGCACCACATATAAATCATGTAGTAAGTCGCAAGCCCCGATAATCAATCACTTTCGAATTCTCCTTCTGCCGAGAAAGTCTTCTCTGCTCCGCTTCTCGAGCCTCTTCGCTCCCTCCGGTCTCTTCCGGTCTTCTCGTCACTCCCGTGTCATACCTTCAACAACTAGTAAGGGCGAAGTCAGGGAATGACGTCATTGGATGACGTCAGCGGAATGACATCATTGCATGACGTCAGTGGATGACGTCAGCGGAATGACATCATTGCATGACGTCAGTGGATGACGTCACTGCGAATAATAGGCTTAGAGGTAGTATTCAAAGTTGCGAACTTAGTGCCTATTGTAAATACATATTCACTTTGCGTTTTGCACTCGGACCAAGAAGTCTAAAGCTCTTCAAGGTTTACGGTTTCCACGGTAGCTGATAATAGTACCTTAACCGTCAACCCACAACAGTAATGATCACCTAAGCTGCGTCTCAAGTATGCATCGTGATAGTTTCGCTCGCTGCATAGGCAATGCTGCACGTCTGCCAGCGCCTGAGCAACGCCCAGCACGCGTACCGACGTTGCTTCTCTTCGAGTTGAGGAACGATGTTGTCATCGATCTGGTGGAGACTGTGCGACAAGCAGATCACCCCTTTTTTTGTCCTCTGTCTTCGCAACAATGCTTTTACTAAGAAATCTGTATATGGTAGAGAGCTGGGGCTACAATTCGAGCTTCAAGGTTTATTTCTTACGGTATTGTTTTTGTGACGGTAATTAACTCATGATTGATCAGACGAGTAGACCGATTGGAAGGCCCACATGATTTATTAGTGGACCACATATAAATCAGGATTTAAGCAGAGAGAGATCCGATAGACCAATCACTTTCGAATCATCCTCCTTCCACACAAGTCGTCATCATTCGGTCCAGATTACAAGAGCAGAATTTCTTTGCAAAACCTTAGGCATCAGTTTCAGCATGTCTACGTATCAGCAGAGTAGACGCGGCTAACTTCTTTGATCCACCTTATGGCGCCGCCAGGTGACTAGAAGATATAGGCCCCCCTCGCCATTCTCAGCCACGTTTTGGCATGGGTTGCAGCGCAGTTGGAATACGATGTTGCTTGCCTATATATAGCATTCCACGGCACGACGGCTGAGATCGATTCTCGCGTGACACCACAAATGCCACACCGACTAAATAGAAAGTGTGCCGCGCGAATAGCAAGCCCACATCGCAAAGTGAAGTCTTTTATACTTGTCTATTGTATGTCAGTCGGAATTTGAAATCTGGTGGCGTCTGGCTTTGTACCTTACACCCTAGTGTATGGTGTGAGTATAGATATTCAAACAGGTTGCTTAAATGGAGTACGCAAAGTAAGACGCGCGAAAAGAATTAATGAATAGATGTCTTTTTTGTGCGTTGTAATGGCTTGTAGGCACCCTGTTAAGATGTAACGAGCACTGGGCGAGAGAACGAAGCTTAAAGAGCTTAAAAGAAGTCTACACTGCAAAGTGAAGACGACTTGTGTAGGAGAAGGAATATTTGGAAGTGAGTTTATTTGTGGGTTCAAAGCTACCTGAATTGTCTCTGCACTGATCTATAGGTTGTCCACATATGAATCATGAATCATAAATCATGTAGGTCATCCGATCATCCTATGCGTCTAATTATTGGTAAAAACTCACCGTAATTACGCGGGATCGACTTGGACAGGTTTACGGTTTCCATGGTAGCTGATAACAGCACCTCAACCGTTAACCCGCAATACGCCCCCTTAATGCAAACACGCGTGTATGCCGAGCGCTGCCGTCAAGTCCTTGTGACGCGGTCCTGGCAGTCCCTTGGTCATGATGTCCGCCAACATAATCGTAGTCTCACAGTAATTTAAAGTGACATCACCACGCTTGACTTCATCACGAATGTGATGGTACTTGATGTCGATGTGCTTGGCCCGACCATGGTTCACAGGATTGTTCGTCATCTTGATGCACGATTGGTTATCTTCCATGATCTTGAGCTCGGGTCCAGACTTGTACTCTGCGGCATCCAGAATCTCGCACAGCAATCGATGCACCCACTTGCCTTCTTGAATCGTCAGACTTAGTGCAATGTACTCAGCTTCATTGTTGACAGTGACACACTTGACTGCTTTATGCTTCCCCAGCTCACCGGAGCACCCATCAGGATGAACGCATATCCCGAAGTCGACTTGCGGTCTGCATGGTCGCCGGCCCAGTCTGCATCCGAGTAGCCGCAGAAGTCTATCTTGTCATCAGACTTGAAACAGATGCCGTGCGACTTAGTCCCTTGAAAGTATCGCAAAATGCGCTTGACCGCCATCCGATGCTCGACTTGGGGGTTTTCCACGAAGCACGAAACGTAACTCACAGCAAAGCAATGTCCGGTAGTGTCGCGGTCATCAGTGCATTAAAGCGCCTACAGCTTCATGAAACGGGCCGATTTTGGTTGTGTTGACGGTCATCGGTTTCCTACCAGTATTAGTAACCGTGACCGGTCCAATCCGAACCGCCTGTTCAGCTTCGTATTTACGACGTAGTTCTTACGGTAATTACCATAGTTGATTAGACGCGTAGGATGATGAGACGCTTCACATGATTTATATGTGCACCACATATAAATCATGTAGTAAGTAGCAAGCCCCGATAATCAATCACTTTCGAATTCTCCTTCTGCCGAGCAAGTCTTCTCTGCTCCGCTTCTCGAGCCTCTTCGCTCCCTCCGGTCTCTTCCGGTCTTCTCGTCACTCCCGTGTCATACCTTCAACAACTAGTAAGGGCGAAGTCAGGGAGTGACGTCATTGGATGACGTCAGCGGAATGACATCATTGCATGACGTCAGTGGATGACGTCACTGCGAATAATAGGCTTAGAGGTAGTATTCAAAGTTGCGAACTTAGTGCCTATTGTAAATGCATTTTCACTTTGCGTTTTGCACTCGGACCAAGAAGTCTAAAGTTCTTCAAGGTTTACGGTTTCCACGGTAGCTGATAATAGTACCTTAACCGTCAACCCACAACAGTAATGATCACCTAAGCTGCGTCTTAAGCATGCATCATGATAGTTTCGTTCGCTGCATAGGCAATGCTGCACGTCTACCAGCGCCTGAGCAACGCCCAGCACGCGTACCGACGTTGCTTCTCTTCGAGTTGAGGAACGATGTTGTCATCGATCTTGTGGAGACTGTGCGACAAGCAGATCACCCCTTTTTTTGTCCTCTGTCTTCGCAACAATGCTTTTACTAAGAAATCTGTATATGGTAGAGAGCTGGGGCTACAATTCGAGCTTCAAGGTTTATTTTTTACGGTATTGTTTTTGTGACGGTAATTAACTCATGATTGATCAGACGAGTAGACCGATTGGAAGGCCCACATGATTTATTAGTGGACCACATATAAATCAGGATTTAAGCAGAGAGAGATCCGATAGACCAATCACTTTCGAATCATCCTCCTTCCACACAAGTCGTCATCATTCGGTCCAGATTACAAGAGCAGAATTTCTTTGCAAAACCTTAGGCATCAGTTTCAGCATATCTACGTATCAGCAGAGTAGATGCGGCTAACTTCTTTGATCCACCTTATGGCGCCGCCAGGTGACTAGAAGATATAGGCCCCCCTCGCCATTCTCAGCCACGTTTTGGTATGTGTTGCAGCGCAGTTGGAATACGATGTTGCTTGCCTATATATAGCATTCCACGGCACGACGGCTGAGATCGATTCTCGCGTGACACCACAAATGCCACACCGACTAAATAGAAAGTGTGCCGCGCGAATAGCAAGCCCACATCGCAAAGTGAAGTCTTTTATACTTGTCTATTGTATGTCAGTCGGAATTTGAAATCTGGTGGCGTCTGGCTTTGTACCTAACACCCTAGTGTATGGTGTGAGTATAGATATTCAAACAGGTTGTTTAAATGGAGTACGCAAAGTAAGACGCGCGAAAAGAATCAATGAGTAGATGTCTTTTTGTGCGTTGTAATGGCTTGTAGGCACCCTGTTAAGATGTAACGAGCACTGGGCGAGAGAACGAAGCTTAAAGAACTTAAAAGAAGTCTACACTGCAAAGTGAAGACGACTTGTGTAGGAGAAGGAATATTTGAAAGTGAGTTTATTGTGGGTTCAAAGCTACCTGAATTGTCTCTGCACTGATTTATATGTTGTCCACATATGAATCATGAATCATAAATCATGTAGGTCATCCAATCATCCTATGCGTCTAATCATTGGTAAAAACTCACCGTAATTACGCGGGATCGACTTGGACAGGTTTACGGTTTCCATGGTAGCTGATAACAGCACCTCAACCGTTAACCCACAATGCGCCCCCTCAATGCAAACACGCGTGTATGCCGAGCGCTGCCGTCAAGTCCTTGTGACGCGGTCCTGGCAGTCCCTTGGTCATGATGTCCGCCAACATAATCGTAGTCTCACAGTAATTTAAAGTGACATCACCACGCTTGACTTCATCACGAATGTGATGGTACTTGATGTCGATGTGCTTGGCCCGACCATGGTTCACAGGATTGTTCGTCATCTTGATGCACGATTGGTTATCTTCCATGATCTTGAGCTCGGGTCCAGACTTGTACTCTGCGGCATCCAGAATCTCGCACAGCAATCGATGCACCCACTTGCCTTCTTGAATCGTCAGACTTAGTGCAATGTACTCAGCTTCATTTGTTGACAGTGACACACTTGACTGCTTTATGCTTCCCCAGCTCACCGGAGCACCCATCAGGATGAACGCATATCCCGAAGTCGACTTGCGGTCTGCATGGTCGCCGGCCCAGTCTGCATCCGAGTAGCCGCAGAAGTCTATCTTGTCATCAGACTTGAAACAGATGCCGTGCGGCTTAGTCCCTTGAAAGTATCGCAAAATGCGCTTGACCGCCATCCGATGCTCGACTTGGGGGTTTTCCACGAAGCACGAAACGTAACTCACAGCAAAGGCAATGTCCGGTAGTGTCGCGGTCATCAAGTGCATTAAAGCGCCTACAGCTTCATGAAACGGGGCGTCGATTTTGGTTGTGTTGACGGTCATCGGTTTCCTACCAGTATTAGTAACCGTGACCGGTCCAATCCGAACCGCCAGTTCAGCTTCGTATTTACGACGTAGTTCTTACGGTAATTACCATAGTTGATTAGACGCGTAGGATGATGAGACGCTTCACATGATTTTTATGTGCACCACATATAAATCATGTAGTAAGTAGCAAGCCCCGATAATCAATCACTTTCGAATTCTCCTTCTGCCGAGCAAGTCTTCTCTGCTCCGCTTCTCAAGCCTCTTCGCTCCCTCCGGTCTCTTCCGGTCTTCTCGTCACTCCCGTGTCATACCTTCAACAACTAGTAAGGGCGAAGTCAGGGAATGACGTCATTGGATGACGTCAGCGGAATGACATCATTGCATGACGTCAGTGGATGACGTCACTGCGAATAATAGGCTTAGAGGTAGTATTCAAAGTTGCGAACTTAGTACCTATTGTAAATGCATTTTCACTTTGCGTTTTGCACTCGGACCAAGAAGTCTAAAGTTCTTCAAGGTTTACGGTTTCCACGGTAGCTGATAATAGTACCTTAACCGTCAACCCACAACAGTAATGATCACCTCAGCTGCGTCTTAAGCATGCATCATGATAGTTTCGTTCGCTGCATAGGCAATGCTGCACGTCTACCAGCGCCTGAGCAACGCCCAGCACGCGTACCGACGTTGCTTCTCTTCGAGTTGAGGAACGATGTTGTCATCGATCTTGTGGAGACTGTGCGACAAGCAGATCACCCCTTTTTTGTCCTCTGTCTTCGCAACAATGCTTTTACTAAGAAATCTGTATATGGTAGAGAGCTGGGGCTATAATTCGAGCTTCAAGGTTTATTTTTTACGGTATTGTTTTTGTGACGGTAATTAACTCATGACTGATCAGACGAGTAGACCGATTGGAAGGCCCACATGATTTATTAGTGGACCACATATAAATCAGGATTTAAGCAGAGAGAGATCCGATAGACCAATCACTTTCGAATCATCCTCCTTCCACACAAGTCGTCATCATTCGGTCCAGATTACAAGAGCAGAATTTCTTTGCAAAACCTTAGGCATCAGTTTCAGCATATCTACGTATCAGCAGAGTAGATGCGGCTAACTTCTTTGATCCACCTTATGGCGCCGCCAGGTGACTAGAAGATATAGGCCCCCTCGCCATTCTCAGCCACGTTTTGGTATGTGTTGCAGCGCAGTTGGAATACGATGTTGCTTGCCTATATATAGCATTCCACGGCACGACGGCTGAGATCGATTCTCGCGTGACACCACAAATGCCACACCGACTAAATAGAAAGTGTGCCGCGCGAATAGCAAGCCCACATCGCAAAGTGAAGTCTTTTTATACTTGTCTATTGTATGTCAGTCGGAATTTGAAATCTGGTGGCGTCTGGCTTTGTACCTTACACCCTAGTGTATGGTGTGAGTATAGATATTCAAACAGGTTGTTTAAATGGAGTACGCAAAGTAAGACGCGCGAAAAGAATTAATGAATAGATGTCTTTATTGTGCGTTGTAATGGCTTGTAGGCACCCTGTTAAGATGTAACGAGCACTGGGCGAGAGAACGAAGCTTAAAGAACTTAAAAGAAGTCTACACTGCAAAGTGAAGACGACTTGTGTAGGAGAAGGAATATTTGGAAGTGAGTTTATTTGTGGGTTCAAAGCTACCTGAATTGTCTCTGCACTGATTTATATGTTGTCCACATATGAATCATGAATCATAAATCATGTAGGTCATCCAATCATCCTATGCGTCTAATTATTGGTAAAAACTCACCGTAATTACGCGGGATCGACTTGGACAGGTTTACGGTTTCCATGGTAGCTGATAACAGCACCTCAACCGTTAACCCGCAATGCGCCCTCAATGCAAACACGCGTGTATGCCGAGCGCTGCCGTCAAGTCCTTGTGACGCGGTCCTGGCAGTCCCTTGGTCATGATGTCCGCCAACATAATCGTAGTCTCACAGTAATTTAAAGTGACATCACCACGCTTGACTTCATCACGAATGTGATGGTACTTGATGTCGATGTGCTTGGCCCGACCATGGTTCACAGGATTGTTCGTCATCTTGATGCACGATTGGTTATCTTCCATGATCTTGAGCTCGGGTCCAGACTTTGTACTCTGCGGCATCCAGAATCTCGCACAGCAATCGATGCACCCACTTGCCTTCTTGAATCGTCAGACTTAGTGCAATGTACTCAGCTTCATTGTTGACAGTGACATACTTTACTGCTTTATGCTTCCCCAGCTCACCGGAGCACCCATCAGGATGAA